TGATTTTTGACAAAGCTAACAAAACAATCAATGGGGAAAGGATTCCCTATTTAATAAATGGTGCTGGGAGAACTGGCTAGCTATATGCAGAAAACTGAAACTGAATCCCTTCCTTATACCTTATACAAAAATTAATTCAACATAGATTAAAGACTTAAATGTAAAACCCAGCACAATAAAAAGCCTAGAAAAAAATCTAGGCAATACCATTCAGCACATAGTCAAGGGCAAAGATTTCATGACAGAAACATCAAAAGCAATTGCAACAAAAGCAAAAGTTGACAAATGAGATCTAATTAAACTAAAGAGCTTCTGCACACCAAAAGAAACTATCACCAGAATGAAGAGACAACCTACAGAATGGGAGAAAATTGTTGCAATCTATCCATCTGACATAGGTCTGATATGCAGAATCTGCAAGGAACTTAAACAAATTTACAAAAAAAAAACATCAAAAATTTGGCAAAGGACATGAACAAACACTTCTCAAAAGAAGACATTTTTATAGCCAACAAACACATGAAAAACAGCTCCACATCACTGATCATTAGAGAAATGCGAATCAAAACCACAGTGAGATACCATCTCATGCCAGTCAGAATGGCAATTATTAAAGTCAAGGAACAACAGATGCTGGTGAGAGTGTGGAGAAACAGAAACGTTTTTACACTGTTGGTGGGAATGTAAATTAGTTCAACCATTGTGGAAGATAGTATGGCGATTCCTCAAAGACCTAGAACCAGAAATACCATTTGATCTAGCAATCCCATTACTGATTATACACCCAAAGAAAATAAATCGTTCTATTATACAGATACATGCACAGGTATGTTCACTGCAGCACCATTCACAATAGCAAAGACATGGAATCAACCCAAATGCTCATCAGTGATAGACTGGATACAGAAAATGTCCCTGCAAAGGATGTGATCTCATTCCTTTTTATGGCTGCATAGTGTTACTATGCAGAATACTATGCAGAGTACTATGTGGCCATAAAAAGGAATGAGATCACATCCTTTGCAGGGACATGGATGAAGCTGGATGCCATTATCCTCAGCAAACTAACACAGGAACAGAAAACCAAACACTGTATGTTCTCACTTATAACTGAGAACTGAACAATGAGAACACATGGACACAGGGAGGGGAACAACACACACTGGGTGGGGAGAGGGAGAGCATCAGAATAAATAGCTAATGCACGTGGGGCTTATACCTAGGTGATAGGTTGATAGGTGCAGGAAAACACTATGGCACATGTTTACCTAGGTAGCAAGCCTGCATTTCCTGCACATGTATCCTGGAACCTAAAATAAAATAAAATTTAAAAAAAAACAGAACAGTCCTCCCTGGAGCACCTGCCTTGGGTAGCACCACTTAAACTGGATTATGTCCATGTACCTTAGTAGATAACAAGTTCCTTGGCTTTTTTTTTTTTTTTTAACAATTTTTGTGCCCTCTACAGTTCCCAGCTAAAATAGATGCCCAATGTAATGTTGATTAAACCAATGTTGCTTTGAAAAAATAAGACTTATTAGTGTTTGCAAAGTGATGAGAACTAATACACACACACACGGAACCCTCCCATATCTATAAATCCTGGTTTTTCTTTCCTTATCTTCGCCCTGGAGATAGTATCAAAAGATCAGGCATTTGCAGTTCTGAAAACCTCCTTTTAAAGCTCTGTGACTGTAATGTCTAAATGTTAAGTTGATTATAACAGCGCTGGGGAAATATGAATTGAGGAGCTGCCTTGCGTTCGTGCATAAATTGTGCCCTGGCCTGCGATGGTAATTATCACAAAAGAAAAAAGCCGAACATCAGCCCAGAAGGAGGTAACATCAAATCCAGCAGGCTTCGTTAGTGGCATGAAATGTCCTATTTGATTTAAATCAAGTGTTTGAACTTCCAGTCCCTTTGGGTAGCAGTTCAAGCGAATTCAGTGAATTATAAATGGCCGGATCTATGACCAAGGACATAATTCAGATTCAAGCAGCTGGGTTCTTCTGCGAAAGCTACCCTGTCCAGGCCCCTATGGACCACCTAGCAGGGCTTGGGGGAAATCTGACACTGTCTCCCTTACGCACTTTTCCTTTCAAAAACTTTCATAGGGAAAACCTCACCCAAATTTGCTCTTAGCAACTGGAGGCTTCCTACATTGCAGCATTCTGGTTCCTGGTGCAGTTTCATGATGGCCCTTGAACCCTAGGCCTGAGAAATGCTGCTGGTGATCCAGGCCAACAGTGGAGCTAAGGCTTGTGGCTATCCCAAGCAGGGAAGGCACAGGGTGAGCAAGCACATCAAACAGGAGAGCTGGCTGGAGATGCGCCTGCCCTGGCAAGAAGCCCAAGGAGATGAAAGGCTCTGCAGACAAGGATCCCTTGCCAGCACTAATGCAGCAGCATCTGTGTTTGTTTAAAAGATGTAGAGCGAGAGAGAGTGTGATTTTGCTTTCTTGAAACATATTCGGAGCCAATTTCGGCACCCAGATCTTCACAGGAAGACCTCGTGAGGTTCTGCAAGGTGTGAGTGGGCATTAAGGGCAGAGTTTCCTGCCTGAACTGAAATTCCAATGATAGCTGACATTGGATTATTATTTTAAAGGAAAGGAGAAACTGCTACACACTTGACACAGCACGGGCAATCACAGTGGTATATTTATACCAAGTACTGGAAACTCAAGTGCATAAATCGACTTCAGTGGTTCTTAAAGTAGGGTCCCCAGACCAGCAGCAATGGCATCGACTGGGAGCTTATTAGAAATGCACGTTCTTGGGCCTCACCCTAAACCTCCAGGGATCAATAGCTCTGTGGTGGGGCCCAGAAATCTGGATTTTTGCCTGGAAGTTTAATCCTCTAGGGCATTTTGATCCACACTCAAGTTTGAAAAACCACTTGAGCACCTTTAAAATTCATCAGCAGCAATGAGCTCTAGCCTTGTCAAACACAGGACTCATTTATTTGTTCCCTGTTGATTGCACCTCCCACATGCAAGACACTCTCTGGCTGCAGTCAGAGCTACGGAGGACGCTCGCTTTGCTGGCCAGGAGTTCTCTGGGTGAATGTGCAAATTGCAGAGCCTGTCCCCCCGTGAGCTTGCTACCAGGACAGCAGGAAGAAAGTGAAACAAACACAATTGCTCATTTCGCTACACACAGACATCCAGTCCAAGGTCACTCAACTGCATGACTAATGACATTCTGAGCCAGATATTTCATTGTGGAGCTGCCCTGTGCACTGCAGGATGTTTAGCAGCATCCCTGACCTCTACTCACTAGATGCCAGTAACATCCCTCCCTCCAGTCATGACACCCAAAATTGTCTCCAGACATTGCCCAATGTCCCTGGGAGGTAACATTATCCCAGTTGAGAACTGCTGTGTTAAACTAGAGTGTGCTGGCTCTGGAAATATAAGCTATATTAGATAGTTAAGCCTCTGGAGTCTATAAAGGCCTAAACTTTATTAGGCACCAATGTCTCCAGAACCCATTTCCGTCCTCCTACTTTCAGCCCGTACAGGAATAAAATGGGCAGATAACGCTAGGTTCCAGGCTACCCTGACCAAGCCAACCCCTTCCCTTACACAAACTTCTGAAACCATGGAACCTGGGAAACTAAGAGGCCACGAGAATGACCCTTAAGGAACTGCACCTCTGGAACTACTACAGTGGACCCTCAGTCACTGCACTGCTGGTTTCCTGATTTGTGACAATACAACAAAAGTGTTAGCACAGACAATGCCATGGGGTCATCAAATCTGTCCATTCTCCAATCATGTTTGTTTGGAAAACAAAGTTGTTTCAAACAAATTGATGTATCAGGAACAATCTGAGAATAATATGAATTTCACTTTTGCTTATGCGTGATGTCATCCATGAGAAACTCTAGGCAAATGCAGAAAACTGCACCCACCTGAACCCAGTGGGATCAGCATACACAAAATACACTTGTCCGGCCCCCCAAAACATCCACAAGCTACCTCAGTTCATGCAAGTGTGAGGAGCCACACCCATCCACACCTGCTGTGACCACTTCCCCTTGAGTTCAGGTTCCCCTCCTTCCACCCCTTCCCAGTAATTCATAAGCGGCGGAGCTTGTGACACTCATTCCACAGCCAACTTCAGGCCTTTTCAAGATGAAGTGACATATTTCTGTTGTATTTCTGTATTTCTTAACCATTTAACTAATGCATAACACAGTACCATCACTCTTCTTTTTTCAAGACAGGGTCTTGCTCTGCTGCATAGGCTAGAGCGCAGTGGTACAGTCCTAGGCCACTGCAGCCTTGGATACCTGGGCTCTAGTGATCCTCCTGCTTGAGCCTCCCAAGCAGCTGGGACAATAGGCATGCCTGGCTGATTTTATAAAAGTTTATTTGCAGAGATAGGGTCTTGCCACCTAGGCTGGTCTCGAACTCCCGGGCTCAAACGATCCTCCTGCCTCAGCCTCCTGAAGTGCTAAGATTACAGGCATAAGCCACATCACCTGGCTCAGTACTACCATTCTTACCAGGCTCCCACCTCTTTTACGTCATGCATCACTGATGAAGTTTTGACTACTGTGTAACTAACCTCGTTTTTCCCAGAAGTCCTGTAGTTTGCATGGCTCAATTTTTGCATAGTGCTATGATTTTGAGGACCACATAGGTCATGTTATAGCAGAACTGGCTGTACCTCCTCCCTGAGCCAAGTGTCACATGGGGTGGTAGAAAAGCACCACCAAGCCCTTCTCCTGTGGCTCCACCCCTTTTTACTCAACCTTCCTTAGCCCAGGCAACAGTCCAGCCTGGATCACCCCCTTCCCTGGCTGCACAGCCACCCAGCCCTAAGTCCCAAGCCCCTGTACATTTCCTTCTCAACACATTCACCACAGCTTACTGCCATTCTCTGTCAAGGACTGTTCCACCCTGTGGCCCTCTACCTCCTTCAGGGCTGAGACCATGTCTCACTCACTTTTTTTCTCCTTAGGTCATTATGGCCATATGTCCAGCTACTCACCCACTCCGCGTCACCAGACACTGCCGGAGTCCCAGTTTCCGGAAGATATCCACCACTGTCTCCATTGGAGTGTGGTCTGTGACTGTGAATGGGCTGAGGTTCAGGATGCGCCGCAGCTTCAGGGGATGCGGGCTGTTGGCTGGCAGCTCAGGGGGCTCCTCGGTGAAGTACATGATGGAATTGCTCACGATGCCCTCCTGCCTCTGTCTGGCATTCTCTAGAATGGGGTGAGCAGGAACAATAAGCCACACAAAAACCCCTTGCTGAGCAACTCCCCACCCCACACTCGTACACAGCATCGAGAATCCTACAGAAAAGGGGTTCGAAGGATGAACCACACATTCTTAATAAGGGGCTTTAGCCAAACATCTGTGGAACTGGCATCTCTCTGCAGCTAATGCTGTGTGAGGATCCCCTGCTGTGACTGGATCATTTGTTGCCAAAGTCTGGCAAGACGGGCCTGACCCAGATGGCCCCTTTGGGAACATTCATTGCTTCCCCCGGGACTCCAGGCACCCGAAACAGCCCAGGGCATTCCACTCTGGCTTTCCTTATGCTACTTCACCTCATCATGGACTGGAGTTTGACGTGACAAGAAACTTACTTAGCTGCCTGATGACCTTAATAAATTGTTTTTCTTTTTATGAACTAACTTATAACTGGCCCAAATGGCATTATGAATCCTGGGAGAAACAAGAAACCAATACAGCCAGGCCAGGTTCACAGCCCAGAAATGCAGCTCTATCACAAATGCGACCCTTGGGTCCAAAGAAACAACCCCAGAATAGCTGCATCCCGCTACACTTTGGATCTCCTGTCTTAAAAATGGGCCATTTCATGGATCTCTCAAAGAAAGATAGTAAAACGGTTATGGTAGCAATTAGCCTATTTCTGTCTGTAGAAAAGCCACGTGAAAGAAGGCTGAAAAAAGTAGGGTAACAGGAACTCATTAGAAATACAGCTTAACGTGGTGCTAGAAACCCAGGCTATTTTAAGTCACACATGAAATAAATCCATCGGTCTCAAGATATTTCTCCAAGGCGATTTTCCTTCTGTTGGAATTTTAATCTTTCTCTTGGTTCATGGGAAAAGGTTAAGGAAAATGTACAGCAAGGCTTGCTTTAAAATGGATCCTGGTTTCTATCATACATTTCTTGCTTTCTCAAAGACTAGTATTCATCTATATTGTTCTTTCAAAAATAAAATTCTAACTGCCTCCTCCAAGGCTATTTAGTGCAATGGAGTACTCTAATGGAAAACTGGCAGCATTTGGGGTCAGGCTGAGTCTGAAAAAGGGTCTCTATTTAAAAGAGGAACAGAGGGCCTGCTGGGCAAATGCCTGCACATTATATGGGTCAGGTTAAATCAAGTTACATCAAATGGGGTATTATTCTAACACAAATACCAGACAACTTTGATGCACAACATGTTTTCAGATGTAGACTGCTCGATATACACTACGTACTTCTCCCCGAAACCAAGATGCTTCTGTCCTTACCCAGTAAGGCAGAGAGGCAACTGGCAACACATACTTATTTGCTCATTTCCACAGACCAGCCAATTCTCTTAAAGTCCCACTAACAGGATTTCCATCAATTTCAACCATTGGGCGAATGTCAGGATTGGATCAAGTCACAAACCCCAATCAAGAGTTGATGACATGGATTTGCTGAACTCCTTCTAAAACCAAATACAATTTAATAAATGGTCAATCCACTTGCTATAATACAATAAAAAACAAGCTTATATCTCCTTTGAACCTACGGATTGGGTTAGGAGCCCTGATTCTAACAGTCACTAGGCTCAATGAACTCTTGCTCAGCAGTGCCCTCCGAGTGTCTGGGCAAGGCCTACAGTAGACACAAAACAGATATTTGCCAAATACACACATGAATGAATGAATGAGTCAGTCTACTAAATGTCAGTGTATCTGGTTCTGCCTGCCACATAAAACTGAACCTATCTCACATAGGAGGCATCAGGAAGGAAAGCCCATGTGGTAATGACTCCAAACAAAAACATAGGCATTGGCTGGGGTCACAGCCGGAGAGCTGGGCTATGCACCTTGCTGTTCCCACAGTGGCAACTGCTACTCTCCTCAGAAAGGTTCTGCTAGGCCACTTTGGAACTCTATTACAGACTCACAGGAGGCTTCAAACTTTGCGGGTGGAGGTGCTAGGAACAGGCAAAAGCTGGTGAATGGAAAAAGAACCAGCAAGAAAGCTCTTTGGAATTCTCTACTAGGGTGAAACATCTACTCTCAGTTTGGACCAGACATCATCAGACATCAAAATGCCTGCATGTAAGTTCACAGAGGGCAGAGGCAGTGTGCTGTCATCCCCAGACTCTGAGCTTCTAGGATGGTATCAGCACATGGTGGACACTTAAGAAATATTTCCCATGTGAAAGGATAAACCAACTAACTCCTCACCCAGGCTATGAGCCAGTGCTACAGGAAAAAGAGACTCACAGACCCCAGGAACACTTGGGAGTCTGTGATGAAAAGGAAACCAAAACAATACAACCAAAAATACTTCTTTTTAAAAGACCTAAAAGACAAAAAGGAAATGCGCTAATATCAACCATGTCTTCTATGGTGATAAGAATGTAGGTGCCTTTTTAAATTTTTCCTTTTGCTTCTGATTTTCCCAATATTTGGAGTGTGTATTACTTTCACTTTGAAAAAATGTAATAAACCCATTTTTAAATGTTTTAAAAATAACTTTTTAAAATTGTCATTAATGTAGGAGGTTTGTCATATATTCTACTAGAATGAGACTCAGTGGCCATGGCTCTTCAAAAAGAATGTACATTTTAGGCCAGGCACAGTGGCTCACGCCTGTAATCCCAACACTTTGGGAGGCTGAGGCAGGTGGATCACTTAAGATCAGGTGTACGAGAGCAGCCTGGCCAACACGGTGAAACTCTGTCTCTACTAAAAATACAAAAATTAACCAGGCATGATGGCGCACCTGTAGTCCCAGCTACTCAGGAGGCTGAGGCAGGAGAATTGCTTGAATCTGGGAGATGGAGGCTGCAGTGAGTCAAGATAGCGCCACTGCTATCCAGCCTGGGAAACAGAGTGAGACTTAGTCTCCAAAAGCAAAAAAAAAGGCATGTACACATTATGAGCACCTGCTAAGGTTACTCAACATTCCATTTTCTAACATTAATATGTTCATATGCCAGATGTAGAGATGGTGATTAATAAAGTGTGGGTAAGAGAAATTTCATAAACTATGTGATAGGCCAATAAATTTTTCAAAATTGGAAATAGTCACATATTTGTTAGGCTATTGAGTGGCTTTAGAGCGATAGTTCTCAACTGGGTGGAGCCCTGGAACGCTGGTCACACTCTACAGGGCACAGGACAGCCCCACCACAGAGAATTGTCCAGCCCCAAATGTCAGCAGTGCTGAGGAAGAGCACTCCCACTTGAATTGTGTTTTTGGGGAGGTTAACAGTCTATCATCCTGTTAATTAAAAATGCTTAGTCAGGCATGGTCGTGCAAGCCTGTAGTCCTAGCTTCTCCGGAGGCTGTAGTGGGAGGACTGCTGGAGCCTAGGAGGTAGAGGCTGCAGTGAACTATGATCACACCATTGCACTCCAGCCTGGGCAACAGAGTGAGACCCTGTCTCAAAAAATTTTTTTAAATGCATCCATAAGACAGATATAATTAATGATATAGGTTAAAATGGAAAATTGAAAGCAACCACAGAAGTAGTCTGTACAAAGATGTTATGATAAAAAAGTAAACACTATACAGAATAAAAAGCAGATTATTTTATGTTATTGTCTGTCTACTAAAGCATGGAGAAATCCCTCTATGTGTGGATGTATATATATAAACATCCCCAACAGAAAGATGTAGAGGGCACCATTGTTCTCCATGACCTAGTCCAGTATCTAACAGCCCTCCCAGGCATAAACCTCTTTCTCCCTTGTCTGACAGATCTGACACTTCTTGTTCAGTGCTGGATGTAGACCCCTTTCTGCAAGTAAGCATCTTCCACATGCTGGAGGATCATTATTATTGGGTTGGTGCAAAAGTAATTGTGGTTTTTGCCACTGAAAGTAACAGCAAAAACTGTAATTACTTATGTATCAACCTAATAAATCATCCACCAGACCAAAAAACCCAGAGAGTTTCCTCAACTCTTCCCTGAAACTCCAACTTTCCACCCTTTAATCATCTCTGTGACTCCCCACTGAGTCCTCTTTGAATCCTTAGTTAACTGCTGAACTCAAGATGAGAAGCACCTGAGCCCTGCTGCATACAGATGAGTCTTCATATTTGCAAAGAGCAATGAGAGGTAAAGGCCTATTTGCCAGGAACTTAAGTAAGAGTCACATACGGCCCCATGTGCTAGTATGTGATGGTGAAGAGAGTCACGTTGCCCAGATGGTGCTAACAAGTGCTAACAAAGATAACACTATGCTTTGGCATTCCAAAACATAACAAAACATTTTCAGCTTCATGAGAGCAGTTGCTACAATTTTTAAACATGATATGTAAGAAAAATTCTTCTTTACCTCACTTACCTTTCTTTTCTGATCCAGATTATCTTGGATCTAACTGTTTATAATCTTTGCTCCCACTTCCTCTAGAAAGTGAAATTGGCATGGAATAGTGTCTAGCTAAATGCTGCCATATTTCTATACTCATAAAATAGCACAAGATTCTCAAATATAGGTCATGCACCTGTATTTATCCACCAGCATACAGGGGCTCTTCTATTTCCACAGGCCAGAAAAACAGCTTTTCTGATTCCTCAGAGCAAAACACCCTTTGCCTTTGCACAAACCATGTAAATAGCACCTTCTATATTATTATCAGTCTGATTGAAAGCATACAGGTAGTATTTATACCGTGTGGTGCCTCTTCAGACATTCCAAACACAGCTTCTAGGAGAGTGCTTGGTTGGTAAGTTTAAATTTCTTCTCTAACCGATTGATGACAATTACTGCTTCCCACTTGATTACAGTAATGGGTTTCAGCAAAATTAGTAAGCTGCGTCTTGGCAGGTGTGCCTGGAGCTATACAATAGATAATATCTTCTGTGACATTTATTACCTTAGTTTTAAAATTTCAACCTTTGCTTAAAAGATTCTAGGGAATGAATAAAATTTTTAAAGGCTGCTGATTACAGTACTTTTAAACAAACCCAACCCTACTTAAACAACTTAAAAAACTCATTATTTATAAGGCAATATTTACGCAAAGGCACCCACCTACCTGTTAAGCAACAGGACCTATAGCAAGGAGAAGCATCACTGAACACTTAAGCACAAACTTGCTATACGATGTCTAAAACACAAAATCAATTTTTGCTTTGGGGAAGGTAACAATGTTTGAGTGTCAAGCTAAAATGGGAGGGAACAGCTTATCTAAACTTATTTTTACAAATCCTTTGATGAAGATGCCTTAAAGATATTTTAAAGCTATTTAACATTGGGAAGAGGTTTTAGAAATCGAAGGGAGGTGACTTGGAAACAGGAAACAAAGGTCAGGGAGAGAAGTAAGCAGTTGCATGGTGGAAATGTGTTCACAGTGGGCCATTCCAACATCAGACCAGGAAAAGTCCCATTGACAAGCTTCAAGAATACTCTGGAAGATGTAGAATAAAACTATCGTGTGTGCATGGGAGCCATGCCATGGGCCTTGATCTATTATGAGATGCTGGAATGTTGTACAGATCACAGAGCAAGGATGCAGAGCAGGATGACACATGCATTTGCCATGTGCCCGTGGATGTGCTATGCTGGTCCTTACCCCTGCCACCTTGAGGCCTGGCATGACTCTACCCCTCCAAGGCTCACTGCTCCTCCTTGCCTGCGATCCCAGCAACTCACAGCCAGACATATGGACCTCAGTTGCATCTGTCTTAGGAATTTTCCTACCTCCTGCTTACCCTTCTGATGGAGCCATCCCTAGGCTGATGGGGCCCATGGGCTTACTTCTCTGAGCTGCCTGTCTTTGGGACACCCTAACCTGGGCATCATCCCATACTCTCCTCCCCCAAGTCAACAGCCTGGCCCTCAGTGCAGCTGATTGTCATTCAAACACAAGAGTCAAATAATCTCACAAAATTGGTTCCAGTGATGTCTGCGCATTTACCTGCAAGGGCCTCTAACTGTGGAATCCAATGTCACATCATAAAGCGAAGCAAAAGACTTGTGTGGTGGCAAGGGGTGTCAGGGGCAGAGAACTCACAATCTCAGCCAGATGGCTGGTCCACCTGAAAGTCTCTGAGACAGCTCTGCCCGGGCCACTCCAGGCTGTCCTCTCTTCCTTGTCAGCTTTAGCCAACAATTGCTGAAAGATGGCAGCAGAGCAGGGCCAGGGGGCTACCTGCAAACATGCAGTCACTTTCTAACCAAGAATGTCTACCCAAGACTTGGGTTTAAAGCTTTTTTCCCCAGAGTGTGACATGGGAACCAAAACATTGGCATTAATGCAGAACTTGTGAGGGATGTAGTCTTGGGTCCCCCCACCCAAGATCTGCACAATCAGAATCTGCTTTTGAGCCAGACCCTCGGGTGACCAGAGACATGTGAAAGCTTGAGAGCCCCTGGCTCAATGCACATAACCTCAAAAATCTTGGATAATATTAGGGGTACAAAGTATACCATTTGGCTCTTGGCAAAACGTGAGCTTCCCACTCTTTACTCACTTATTGCAAGAATCAGTTCCCTCCTCTGGGCAAATCCAATGAGGCGCTCAGAGTCTCTGGAGACCACCACAGGGAAGCCATTGTAGTCGGTCTCCTTGATGAGCGTCTCCACATCTTCGACGGTCATGCTGTCCTGGGTGAGCACCGACAGTGGCGGCTCTCCCCGCCGAGGCCGCATGACATCAGTAGCCAGCGTGCGGTGGGTAAATTCATCCTTAACATCGAGGAAAGGGTACCCATTTAAGTGGATGTGGGCCTCATAGATGCCTTCTTTCCCAAATGCATCAGCCACCCACTTGCTGGTCACAGCCGCCGCCATCAGGGGCACAATGTATTCCAGACCCCCCGTTAATTCAAACATGATGACCACCAATGACACTGTCATCCTGGTAACTCCACCTGCAACAGAGAGGAGGAGTAAGATTCCAAAGTACAACCCGGGAAGCTCATAGGGCCATGATTTGGGGAAAATGACAGTCAGGCTGTAAATTCCCCTCACACCTGTTCTGAGCAGACACTCCCTTATGCTTCCTGCACGGGGCCTCTGGAACCCAGGCCAGGCCGTCAAATGTGGCTTTGCGTTGGGGAGCCGGAAGTCGCATCTCACTGGGGCCTCTGCTCCAGTGAGGGATGCTGTGTTGTGTATTCACCCTGGCCCACACAGCTAGCTTTTTGGTGAGTGGTTCCTATGTGGGTTCTGCAAGCCTCTGACTAAGCAAGCACGGTGCTCTTCCAGAACACCATAAACTAGATCTCAGAGATTCTTAAGGATTATAGACAGAAGACAGACCCATCTTTGTGACCCTGAATGATTAGGTGGAGATGAACCTTCTGCTAAACCATGTTTTTAATTTGCAGACGGTCCTAACCTACAATGGTTCAACTTATGACTTTTTAACTTTCCATGGTACAAAAACAATCGGTGTTGAGTAGAAACCATGCCTCCAGTACCCAGGCAACCATCTGTTTCTCACTTTCAGTATTCAATACATTACAAGAGATGTTCAATTTTATTATAAAATAGGCTTTGTGTTAGATGATTGTGCCTAGCTGCAGGTGAATGTAAGTGTTCTGAATACATTTAAGGTAGGCTAAGCTAAGCTACAAGGTTCGGTAGGTTAGGAGCATTCAATGCATTTTCAACTTATAATATTTTCAACTCATGATGCCATTTGTCAGGATGTAAACCCCATCATAAGTTAAGGGTATCTGTGTGTATGTGTGGTGTGTGCATAGTGAGTAACATATAAGCCTCGGTGTGTTAAGCCACTGTGGTTTAGGGATTTACTTATTATAGCCGCACAACCTAGCCTAACCTGAGTAATGAAAATGTTGAAGTCCATGTCTTTCTTCTTGGCAGTCCTCTAAGCCAGATCAGTTCCCCAGTCCCCCTTCCTGCCCGACTGTGGTCGTACCAAGGCAGGCCGCAGCCCCCACCATTGCGTAAAGCCCTGGCGTGACACAGTCTGCACCGGGTCTACACCAGTTCCTGAAGATGATCCAGTCATGGTGATGGTAGGCCAGCTGCTCCACGCCAATTCCCACCATCCTGCCTGCTATCGCGCCCACAGCCATGCTGGGGATGAAGAGGCCCGATGGGATCTTGAGGAGACACAGAGAAAATCGACATGAGGGAAGGAGACCGAGTCCCCACTTCACAACCCCCAAGAAACACACTGTCCCTCGACAGGCTTGCATTTAGCTTCAGTCTTCAGAGGAGGTGCAACTCTGCAAAATAGGTCAGCTGGGGAAAAGTGGGACAAATTATTTGACCGGCTTAGTCAGTCACATCTACTGCGACTTAGAACGCAATTTTATACTTTGATTCCCTCTCCTTCAAGAACTGGCTGGGTTTGCCTGCTGTGGATTAAAGAATGATAAGCCCCACTGCAAACAACATTGAAAGTGAGCATCTGTCACTTGAGACACCACTTTCTCTCTCCCCTTACCATGTCATTCAGAATGACTTTTAAAATTAAATGTCAAGCCACAGCATGAAAATGGTAAAGAAGGACCTGCAACTGCTCCCAGGTAAAATAAAGAAGCTGAATCCATCATTGCAGCCACCCTGGATCTTCCAGAAAGCACTTCAATGGCTCCCTGCCCACTCTAGTAGGTGGTGGCTGAACACCCATCAGAGAGAGCCGAGGGAGGCAATTTCATCTTCCTAGTGAAGTGCATTTTCCAATAAGCATTCTGTATATTTTCAAGCCAGGGTAGGGGGAGCAATGAAATAGAATGTAAACTGAAAGATTTTGGTAGCAGCGTGTTCTCTACTCTGCTGGATGAAAATACATTTTAGTTTATTTAGTGACCACACATGTGCTATAGAACATGCCTGCCTCCCTGTGTTCACTGAAATGACACGTGACCACTGACCCTGGGCAGCAGCTGCAATGATGCCCACCCTAGGTGGTCACCCAGCTGAGGATGGAAGCTGATCTTTAACCTAATTCAAGTGAAGTTTGGATCCTTGTGTGTGTAATTTCTAGAGTTAAAACATTCCTTAGTGTTCCTTTCTGAGCCTCCCCTTATTCTACATCATTTATATCCCTGTAATCTCAAAGGAGATTTTTCTCAGCAAGCCTCATAAAATGTTACCAGCATCTTCCTGAGACACAAAAACAAATCCCTTTGCTAGGAGATGACAGACCAGAGGCAGTCAGCTGTTTAATAAGGTCCACCCGTCCTTGTTCATAAGGTACAAATTCAGGTTTGTATTTGACCATTACACACTCAAGTAAACAACTTCTTAGACTTTTTTTTCCTTTTTTTTGAGACAGAGTCTCTGTTTCTCTATTGCCCAGGTCCATGTGCAGTGGTGTGATCTCAGCTCACTGCAGCCTCCGCCTCCCAGGTTCAAGCAATTCTTGTGCCTCAGCCTCCTGAGTAGCTGGGACCATAGGCACATGTCACCACGCCCAGCTAACTTTTGTATTTTTAGAAGAAATGGGGTATCACTATGTTGACCAGACTGGTCTTGAACTCCTGACCTGAAGTGATCCACCAACCTCAGCATCCCAAAGTGCTGAGATTACAGGTGTGGGCTACCGTGCCTGGCCATTAGATATTTTTTTTAAAAAGCAATTCAGGCTGGGCGTGATGGCTCATGCCTGTAATCCTAGCACTTTGGAAGGCCAAGGCGGGTGGATCACTTGAGCCTAGGAGTTCCCAATGGGCCTGGACAACATCGCAAGATCCCATCTCTACAGAAAATACAAAAATTAGCTGGTATTGGTGGTGCATGTCTGTAGTCCCAACTACTCAGTGGGCTGAGGCAGGAGGATCACTTGAGCCCGGTAGGTCAAGGCTGCAGTGAGCCATGATTGTGCCACTGCACTCCACACTGGGAAAAAGAGCGAGACCCTATCTCCAAAAAAACAAAAGACAATTCAAGCAGGGAAAATGGCTCATGTGTGTAATCCTAGCACCTTGGGAGGCCAAATAGGAGGATCACTGGAGCTCGGGAGTTTGAAACCAGCCTGGGCAACATAGGGAGACTTGGTCTCTATTTTGTATTTTTAATAAAAACAAATAAAATTAAAAAGACAATTCATAGAAATACCACACAGAAAGCAATCATAATGCAACACAAAAGGGGGTTTTGTGGTATGGATCATGTTCTGCTTCTGGTCCTGGGTGCTGGTTATACAAGTGTGAGTGTTTTAAGAAACGCCATCAAGCTGTACACATCTCTATATGAATGATATACTCTAATAAAAGTTTCTTTAAGTAAGCAATGATAGCATTATCCATAATAGCCAAAAGGTAGAAACAAATGTCCATCAAAGGATGAATGTATAAACAAAATGTGAGATCTCCGTACCATGGAATACTATTCAGCCGTAAAAATGAAGTAGTGGCACACGCTACAATGTGAATGATCCGTGAAAACAAGGTGCTAAATAAAACAAACCAGTCACCAAAGGCCACATATTGTTTGATGTCATTTATATGAAGTATCCAAAATAGGCAAATCTAGAGGCAGAACAGATTAGTGGTTACCAGGGGCTGGGGTAGGGCAAAATGGAGATGGGATTTCCTTTTGGGGGATGAAAATATTCTAAAAGCTAAATAAAGGTGTTGGCTGCACGACATTGTGAATGTACATAATGTCACTGAATTGTACACTTTAAAATGATCCTTTATGTTTTGTGGATTTTACAATTCAAAAAAAAAGCAATAACAACTTAATTCCAGATTCTATAAAAGAAAGCTCTTTAGGAAGGGCTTTTAAATTATTTTAACATAATGATTTTAACCCAATGAAAGAAGAAAGGAGCTGTCTCTTCTCTGGCTTTAGGAACAAGAATAATGGAAGCATGTGCTGTTGGGTGTGGTGTGGTGGCTCATGCCTATGATCCCATTGCTTTGGGGGGCTGAGGTAGGAGGATCACTTGAGCCCAGGAGTTTGGGACCAGCCTGGGCAACACAGCAAGACCCTCATCTGTACAAAAAATTTTAAAAATTCACCAAATGTGGTGGCTCATGCCTATGATCCCAGCTGCTTGGGAGGCTGAGGTGGGAGGATGACTTGAGCCCATGAGGTTGAGGCTGCCATGAGCTGTGATCATGCCACTGTATTCCAGCCTGGGCAATAGAAAAGGATGGAGGAGGGAGGGAGGGAGGGAGGGAGGGAGGGAGGCAGGGAAGGCAGGAAGGAAGGCAGGAAGGCAGGCAGGCAGAGAGAGAAAGGAAGAAAGAAAGCATATGTTGTCATCCACAGCTCTGCCCTTCAAAGAGGATGTGTGCAAAGAGCCCGTCATGCCTAGCCCTACCCAGATGGGGGATGCACTCACTCTGTGCTCCCGTCATACCAGTGTGGTGCTCGCCACAATGTCAGAACTCTGGGCCAGCATCTCTCTCTCCCAGAGTTGTGTGCTCTGCAAAGGCAGCTTCGCTGTTTGGGGATCTGTATCCCTCAGACTGAGCACAATGCCTAAGATGTAGCTGATACTCAATGCATGTTTACTGACCCAAACTGAGCCAAACCTGGGCTGTTTCCACCACCTGGCATCGCCTGGCCAGAAGCAGGAAACCTGTGGTTACCACCACCTGTTCTGGGAATATGTGAAGTGGGTTTGATGCCTAGCTCTGTCTCCCATAGCTGTGGGTCTGATCAAGCCACTTAAGATCTCATAGCCTTAGTTTCCTCACTTGTAAAATGGGATTAAAATCTCTATTTCATAAGCTTATTGTTTATTAAGTTATTTCCTATTGATTAAAGGAATGTCAAGTGCCTGGCACATGAGAACATTTAAGAAAGGCCAGTTCCCCTTTTTTCCATTGCAATTTTATTTTAGAGAATAGGGTGCTATCCCCAGAAGGACATGAGAAGGACATGGGTCACACCCCATCTTCCTTCCCTTTCACTTACCTTCATGCCAAAGGTAAATATGGTAACAACGATTTTGAAGATCAGTGCCAGGGCCAGCTGCCACATGGCTGTGTAAACACCGACACCAGCTGGCCGGTCTGGAATGTCATCCACTGGCCGAGTCATGTTGGGGTCGTTGATGTAGTCACAGAGCTGGGAAGACTCAAGGGCCCCACAGTCATTGAACAGCTCAGAAATGAGCTCGCTGGTGCTCTGGCGTGTGTAGGGATTGGGGTAGGCAATGATGGCAGTGATGGCGGTCACCACGATGACCTCTAGCACTGGGTACTTCCCCAGCCTGGTGGTCTTGCGCCTCCTGCACCAGGCAATGTTGCAGCGGATGAACAGGGTTCCCCATAAGCCCCCGAAAACCCCAAGTAGGATGAAGGGGAAGAGTTCAGCCATGTACCAGGGCGTGTGATACTCCACATAAAAGAGAACAAGACGGCTATTTCCAAAGGGATTGATGGATCGCAGTGTAAAGGCCGCCACCAGCGCTGCGAAAAATGACCTCCACAAGGTCTTCAGGGGAAAGTAGTAACTGACCTGAGATGAAACAGTAGAAAATTAGAGACTGGGCGGAGAAAGAGCTGCTCAGAGCCAGGCCCTCTGGTTGACATGAAAGTCACACTCTAAGTCCAATAGTGGACACACTCACTCCATCAGCCTGGACTTAATATGACCAAAATGTACCAGCAAAGATACTTAGATGAAGTATCTTTGTCTAGAAGTGGAATGGACACTAATCAAGGTGGGTTAGAGCTATATTTTTAAATGATATAAAAGTATTTAATCATAATTCTGTTTATGGCACAGAGGCTCCCCTAGAAGCAAATAAGTCTCTGGATTGGATTCTACAGACAACAGAGTAGATCAGAGTTTGGGAAACTCTGGGCTGCAAATCAACTGCAGCCCAGGGAATGCGTTTCTATGGCACACGAGTTAAGAATGGTTTTTACATTTTAATTGATTGAAAAAGGGGAAAAATCTTTTGATTTGAATAATTCAAAAGAATAATATTTTGTGACATGTGAAAACTGTAAAATTCAGATTTCAGTGTCCATAAGGAAACATCTATGGAAATACAGACATGCCCATTTGTGTATGTATTGTTCACAGCTGCTCTCACGCTATGACAGCAGAGCTGAACAGCCTCAACAGAAACTGTATGGCCCACAAAACCGAAAACATTTACTACCTGGCCTTTTACAGAAGCATCTGCCAACCTCTGGAATAATCCATTTGGGTTACCAAAACCCAAAATGCTTAATTAAGCTGGTTATGAGAAAGAGAGAGGATGCTGTAAATCTTAAAAAAAAAATCACCTTGGCAATTTTAAAAATAATACTCAAAAACAGGAATTTAACAGTGGTGGCCAGGTGTGGTGGCTCACACCTATAATTCCAGCACTTTGGAAGGCCCAGGTGGTGGATCACCTGAGGTCAGGTGTTCGAGACCAGCCTGACCAATATGGTTAAACCCTGTCTCTACTAAAAATACAAAAATTAGCCAGGCGTGGTGGCATGCGCCTGTAGTCCCAGCTACTCAGGAGGCTGGGACAGGAGAATTAGTTGAACCCAAGAGGTGGAGGTTGTAGTGAGCCAAGATCACACCACTGTACTCTAGCCTGTGCGACAGAGCAAGACTCCATCTCAAAAAAAGAAATAAAAGTGGAAATTGTGGCTCCTTAATTAACTGCAGGAATCTTATCCAATACTTCTTTGAGTCTAACCCTTCAAAGAGCCTTGCTGCTCAAAATCGTGAATTCCCTCAGCTGCCCATTCTTACCTCTTCTAGACTGAAAAGCACGCCTCCAATTGGTGCACCAAAGGCAACAGAGACTCCAGCAGCTGCTGCTGCTGAAAGCACCTACAAAACAAATAGTTCTACATAAGCTTCGAGGCCTTCCATGAAAACTAACGTGCAAACCTGCAGGTCAGCAGGTCAGACAGCAGGAGGGGAAGAAGAAAGTTTTGCCGCAGATGGAAGTTGAGCTGGCTCACCTCTCGCCTCTTGCCCTCATTCTTGCTGTACTTGGAGAAAAGGCTGCTGAAGAAGTTGCCACAGCAACAAGCCACATGCACTAGCGGCCCTTCCTTCCCAAGGCTCAGGCCAGAGGACACTACCAGCACCAGCGTGACTGTCTTGATTAGCAGGGTCCACTTCCCCAAGTAACCCCTGATGATGAAGCCACTCAAAATAGTCTTTATCTGAAACAGAGGATAGAGAACAAGAAGGAATGAACTATTTCAATCCATGGCTAGGAAAAGAACTGTAATTCCTCTGAGGGACATGTTCAAAGTTTAGATTCACTCAATAGCATGGAACAGAGGCCATTTTCATTTTTGATTTAACTATAATTTTATATTAACTAAAACATTAAAAATTCAATGCATGGTAAATCTTAAGGATTCCTAGAGTACCAAAAGATCCTAAAGAGGACTAAATCAATCATCATCAAGGTCTTGCTTGATTTATGGCATTTTATCCCATTCACACTACCTTTTGTTATGAGAAGATACATATACCTATTGATGCTAACTGTTAACTTTTGACTCTGAAAAATATCCTAGATAAAGAGATGGAGAGCTGGCCAACTATGTGACAAGGCAAGGAGAGGGAAGTAGTTAAGAATATGCTGCCCCCTACCAGGCACAGTGGCTCACACCTGCAATCCCAGCACTTTGGGAGGCCGAGGTGGGAGGAAAACTTGAGCCCAAGAGTTTAAGACCAGCCTGGGTAACATAGAGACACCTTATCTCTGCAAAAAAGTTTTAGAAATTAGCTGAGTATGATGGAATGCACCTGTAGTCCTAGCTACTTGGGAGGCTGAGGTAAAAGAATTGCTTGAGCCCTAGAGGTCAAGGCTGTAGTGAGCTGTGATCACACCACTACACTCTAGCCTAGGTGATGGAGCAAGATCTTTTTGTTAAATATATGTATGTATGTATGTATGTATGTATGTGTGTATATATATATATATATATATATGTATATATGTATATATCACCCCAACATATGCCACTCTGGCATATTATTTTGGGTTAAAGGCACTTGAAAAATAGCAGGTGCAAGATCACCTGACCATCATTCTGTTTCTTAAAAGCAGGAGATGCAACTCCCATGTGAAAGATGCCCTTCCTGTACTAAAAGGGAGCATCAGTCCTGTCATCAAGGACAGGAAGTTGAGGCGGAGGGAAATCTGCACAAACCAACCTTGTTAGACTAACCCTCATCCTCCTGGCTATTTCACCCAGCTAATACCCCTAGCCCAGGCCCCTCTGCCTTGTCATACTTTCAAAGATTACTACTTATCCAATTCAGCATGTAAGTGTTCAACCTTAACTGTAACTTCGTCTTTGGATCTTCACTCTTTATGAAGGCTCTCATGTCATGTAAAACTCATATTAAATAAACTTGTATACTTTTATCCTGCTGATCTGTCCTATATGTCAATTTAATTCTCAGACCCAGCCGCAAACCCCTAAAAAATGGTTTGTCCCTACAAGAGCAAAATGTCAATTGAACTTTAGGTCAGGAGTTGACAAATTATAGCCTGTGGTCCAAATCTGGCCAACTGCCTATTTTTGTATGAACCATGAGCTAAGAATAGTTTTAACATTTTTAAAAGTAGTATGTAAAAAAAAAGACCACTAGCCTTCTGGCAAGAATAGTTGCTCCATCTTGCTCATTGGCCTCCAAGGTTTAATTATATTGACTGTCTTTCTTTTGTAAGAAAAGCTTGCCAACCCCTTCTGGAGGCGACGAATTAATGAGTATTTACTGTCCAATTCTTTCAACTTTTCAATATGTTTGAAAATATTCTTAATGGTAGAAAATGAAGAAGAGACTCAACATTCCAATAACGCAGGTTTGGGGAACGTAAAGATGTTTGAATCCATGATGACCCTTTTCTCTTCTGTCAAATCCTACCCTCTTGTATTGTAAAGGACTTTGACTATTGGGCGCATTATCTTGCTCCATTTCCAGACCTCGTGCATTTTTGTAAATACCAAATAATGGCTTTCTTCCTAAAGGTTCACCTGAGTCTTTGCCTAATGCTTTTAGAATTTAACTGGGTACATATCTCAATGATTAACTTCATACACCAAGATCCTCTCCACTGCCAAAATGGTATTCTTTTGGATATAAAAACATCATCAATGACCAAATTACTTTTCTACCTCCAACCACTACCCCAGTTGGCTGAAATGGTGCGAATGTTTACTGCTCAGCTAGCAACTTACAAGCCTGTAATCACAGATTAATCAGACACCAAGTCAGTCAGTCAATGAAATCTGTGGTTGATTTCTGGTTTTCCCATTATGTAATATGTAATGGGACAAGGTTATCTCTTGTCTGTGTCATTTACATAACTTCAAAACACCTCCTTGTGGGCTGGTGACGTGGGTGATGGAGCAAGATCTTTTTGTTAAATAAATATATATATACACATATATATATATATATATATCTCACCCCAAAATATGCCACTCTGGCAAACTACTATTTTGGGTTAAAGGCACTTGAAAAACAGCAGGTGCAAGATCACCTGACCTTCATTCTGTTTGTTAAAAGCAGGAGAAATCAATTCTGCCAAGTAATCAATTTCTCAAATAGCTACTACAGTCATTCTCAACCTTGGCACTCATTAGAGTCACCTGGGGAATTAGAAAACTCTGCGGACTGGCTCTCCCCACAGAGATTTGGCATAATTGGTCTGAGGTGAATCCAGGATATGAGGATTTTTACAGCCTCCATAGGTGAGTCTAAAATGCAGCCCAGGTAGAGAGCACTGCTCAACTCCTGAAAATAGCAGCACAATAGAGCATTTAAAGAACAACCCTGGAACACTCTTTGTTCTTTCACCAACTCCTTCTACTGAGCATCACATCACCTTGAGCGATTTGGAGCAGGTCATGAAGAGTGCTCATCCAATAGTGTGTATATTCCCAAGGGACTTAGTGAGCTCCTTCGAACAGAACATGTGCAAGGTCTCCTAGCTATATAGTCAGATGGTGTTTCCTGAACTAGCCTTGAACTCGTGACTGACAAATTCATGATGGTTAGACCCATCCTTAACTAGTGGTAGTTAGCTTAATTGAGCCTGTGCTCTGAGATCTCAGATCCCTTTATTTAAGGGATGTTTTATTATGCCTGCCACAATCCTGCCCTTTGGTGTTGCCTCAAATAAAATTATCTATAATTTTTTGTCAGTCAGTTAATGCGGATTTAGACCCCAGGGTACAGTTTAAAAGCGTAATACCATTTAGAAAATTACAACCATCTAAATTACCTGAGCCTTTGCCAGCCATGACATATGGTGAATTGAACAATGTAATAGGTATTCTGTAATTCTCTAAAATGATTTTATAAAATTCTCATGATCAAATTAGGGACTAAAGAAGACAAATTCATTACCAGTAGATGGCAAAACCCAATCACTTGCTTTAATTTGAATTCATAGAGTCTGAAGCGAGCAGGGCTTTAATGAGATGTACGGCAGTGGATTTATGACTTGGTAGTGGTAATATGAAAACAAGAACTCTTTCTGATAAATAAATATTTGTAAGAGTGTTTGCGTTTTTCAATAAACTGAAACATCAATACAGAGTAAGTTCTGAGAGGGTATGATTTCTCATATAGTTGACATGGCAGTGATTCCACTGACAAAAGGAAGCAAGTAGAGGACACCCTTACCCAGCTTTCTCTCAAGTCCCAAGTGCAACAAGCTGTAAGTCTTCACTTTTTTCTTTTTTTGTGTGTGTGAGGCAGGGTCTGGCTCTGTCACCCAGGCTGTAGTACAGTGGCACAATCACAGCTCACTGCAGTCTCAACCTCCTGGGCTCAAGTGATCCTCTCACCTCAGCCCCCAGAGTAGCTGGGACTACAGGCATGTGCCACCACACCTGGCTAAATATTTTTTAAGACAGTCTTGCTCTGTCATCCAGGCTGGAGTGCAGTGGTATGATCGCAGCTCACTGCAATCTCCACCTCCCGGGTTCAAGTGATTCTCACGCCTCAACTTCCCAAGTAGCTGAGATTACAGGCATACACCACCATGCCCAGCTAATTTTTGTATTTTTACTAGAGACAGGGGTTTTGCCATGTTGGCCAGGCTGGTCTCGAACTTCTGGCTTCAAGTGATCCACCCACCTCGGCCTCCCAAAGTGCTGGGATTACAGTCATGAGCCACTGCTTCCTGCTGCTAATTTTATTTGTATTTTTTTTTGTAGAGTTGAGGTCTCATTATGTTGCCCAGGCTGGTCTTGAACTCCTGGGCTCAAGCAATCTTCCCACTTTGGCCTCAAAATGCTGGGATTGCAGGCAAGTATTCACGTTTAAATGTGCTTTATAGAACTTTTATGGAGAGCATTTATTACATAGAAAGAAACGCCCTTCTTTAAATTTGTTTTTGTTTTCGTTTTTATTTTTTAGAAACAAGGTCTTGCTCTGTTGTCCGGGCGGGAGTGCAGTGGTGTGATCATAGCTCACTGCAGCCTCAAACTCCTGGCCTCAGGCAATCCTTCCACCTCAGCCTCCCAGGTAGCTGGAATTATAGGCATGAGCCACCGTACCTGGCCTAAATTTGCATTTTTAAAAATGTTTACAAAGGCATTTTCACTCTAAGTAATCACAATGCTTTGGAAGCAAATGCTAAGGAGGATGAACAATTCTTTAAATGTACATAAGTACATCACAGTCAAAGCTCATTCTTATGCAGAATGCCATATAGCAGCTTACAGCAGATCACCTCAGACAATGATAAACATGTTTTCTAAACAGCATCTTTGCTAGAATGAAGAACAGCTTCATGTCTCAACTGAAGTCAGTTTCCATATTTAGTTGGGTGTTGACTGGGAGGAGATTCTTTGTATCCATGAATTATTTTCTTACATTTAATTTTTACTCTGACCCTCTCCTCTAAGAACTGGGAAAGATACTGCATTCTTAGGTTAAGAATTTCCAGCTCTACTATAATAACAGAGAAGACTTTGCTATTGCTGAGTCAAACCTCCGTTTGGTTTCTGAAACTTCTTTAAAAGACTATTATGAGCCAGGCACGGTGGCTCACGCCTGTAATCCCAGCACTTTGGGAAGCTAAGGCAGGCGGATCACAAGGTCAGGAGTTCAAGACCAGCCTGGCCAACATAGTGAAATCCCATAGCTACTAAAAATACAAAAATTAGCTGGGTGTTGTGGCAGGCACCTGTAATCCCAGCTACTCAGGAGGCTGAGGCAGGAGAATCACTTGAACCTGAGAGGCAGAGGTTGCAGTGAGCTGAGACCACGCCACTGCACTCCAGCTTGGGTGACAGAGTGAAACTGTCTCAAAAGAAAAAAAAAGATTATTATGAACTATTTTGCAAATAGAGAAATGAATCTATCACATACTTATATATACTTAAAAGAATATTAATAAAACAAGTACCCATGTGCCCACTACCAAGTTTGGGAAACAGAAGAGTGGCTACCTTGTATTTGCCTCCCCAGTGGAACCTTCCTCCTTTCCCTCACCACTTCCTACCACTTCTTCACCTTTCTCTATAGTTTTAGCACATACGTTGTTTCATTTTAGCTGTTTATAGACGTTCTATCAAGCATACTTTATGTATTCTTGTGCAACTTGCTTTTTCACTTAACATCACAATTTTTGGCTTTATCCATGTCTATGTCTCCCTTGTACTTTTGTCACATAAGAAACAAGGGCTCGGCTAGGTGCAATGGTTCACACCTCCCAGCATTTTGGGAGACTAAGGCAGGTAGATCACTTGAGCCCAGGAATTTGAGACCAGTCTGGGCAACATGGCAAAACCCCACCTTTACAAAAAGCACAAAAATTAGCTGGGCATGATGATGCACACCTATAGTCTCAGCTACTCAGGAGGCTGAGGCAAGAGGACTGCCTGAAACTGGGAGTTCAAAGCTGCAGTGAGCTGTGATGGCGCCACTGCACTCCAACCTAGGAAACAGAGTGAGATGAAAGGAAAGAGGAAGGGAAGGGGAGATAAAAAAGACAGACAAGATGGGAAGGGGAAAGAGGGAAGGGGGAAGGGGGAAGGGGGAGGGGAAGAGAAGGGAAGAAGAGTGCCGGGTGCGGTAGCTCACACCTGTAATCCCAGCACTTAGGGAGGCTGAAACAAGAGGATCTCCTGAGGTCAGGAGTTCCAGACCAGCCTGACCAACATGGAGAAACCCCATCACTACTAAAAATACAAAATTAGTCAGGCATGGTGGTACATGCCTGTAATCCCAGTTATGAGGCAGAATTGCTTGAACCCAGGAGGCGGAGGTTGCACCATTGCACTCCAGCATGGGCAGCAAGAATGAAACTCTGTCTCAAAAATAAATAAATAAAAAGAGGAAGGAAGGAAAGGAGGGAGGGAGGGAGAAAAAACAAGAAAAGAGAAGAACAGAAGAGAAGAGAAAAAGGGAAGGAAGGAAGGAAGGAAGGAAGGAAGGAAGGAAGGAAGGAAGGAAGGAAGGAAGGAAGGAGGGAGGGAGGGAGGGAGGGAGGGAGGGAGGGAGGGAGGGAGGAAGGAAGGAAGGAAGGAAGGAAGGAAGGAAGGAAGGAAGGAAGGAAGGAAGGAAGGAAGGCAGGCAGGCAGGCAGGCAGGCAGGCTCAACTCAGTATTTTACCCCTTCTGAGTTCAGCTACCACCAATAAAGATGCCCACTTTGGATGACAACAAAGTCCAGCCAGCCCTGCAAAGAGAGATCTCATATTTGAACTCCTTGTCTATAAGGACACTGGCTGAGCCACACATCTACAGTTCTTGGAAGGGAGAGATGGGACTACCCAGCAGGCCTCTTACTGCTTCTATTTTCTACCAATTCCCCATTGGTCATCTCCTTATTTGGGAAATGCTTGAGTCAAAAATGCCTACTGTTGGGTAGTGGGATCACAAACTGAGATGTTTTTGACATCAAATAAAATAGTTCATTTATGACACTTAGTTGGAAAATTTGCCTCAAGCACTGTGGCTCATGCCTGTATTTGTAGCAACTTGGGAGGCCAAGGCAAGAGAATTGCTTGAGCCCAGAATTTGAAGACCTGCCTGGACAACATGGCAAAGCCCCACAAAAAATACAAAAATTAGTTGGGCATGGTGGCACATCCCTGCAGTGCCAGCTCCACAGGAGCTGAGGCAGGAGGATCACTTGAGCCCAGGAATTTGAGACCAGCCTGGGCAAAGGAGTGAGACCTTGTCTCTATATTAAAAAAATAATAATAGTAACAATAAAGAAAAAAGAAACCCAGGCGTGGTGGCTCACACCTGTAATCCCAGCACTTTGGGAGGTTGAGGTGGATGGATCAGGTGAAGCTAGGCCAACATGGTGAAACCCTGTCTACTAAAAATACAAAAATCAGCCAGGCATGGTGGTGTACATCTGTAATCCCAGCCACTTGGAGGCTGAGGCATGAGAATCTCTTAAACCCGGGAAGCAGAGGTTGCAGTGAGCTGAGATCGCGCCACTGCACTCCAGTCTGGGCGACAGAGTGAGACTCTGTATCAAAAAAAAAAAAAAAAAAAAAAAAAAAAAAAAAAAAAAGGAAAGAAAAGAAAAGAAGAAAAGAAAAATAAAAGAAAATGTAAATTTGTTCCAATGCTGCTCTTGTTAGGGAGGAATCTGAGCTTAATGCAAATTTTATGTCTATTTATGCAGATTTCCTCCAGGAGAAATACCAGGTAAATGTAGAAAATTGCACCCAGCCATGTAGGAAAATGCAAAACACACGAGTGGAACATCTACCCGTTCACACATACACCAGGGTGCCACACCCATCTCTTCCTGCTGCCTCAACTTCCCCTCCAGTTTCAGATAACCTTCCTTATGCCCTTCACAGTAATGCACAAATCGCAGCCCTTCCACACCCACTTCCACAAGCAAACTTCAAGTTCTTTGCAGAAAGTGACATATTTATTGTGGCATTTGTATATTTCTTAGCCATTTAATGTGTACAACTGTGCTCCTGTGTTTACTAGGTTCCTCTTTTTGTCTTATGTGTCAGTGATGAAGTTTTGCATATATGTGCCCCTAATTCATGGTCCCCATAAAGCCCTGTGGTTTCTGTTGTGTGATTTTGCATGACATGATGATATTTAGAAATGCCTATGCTTAGAAAATAGGATGGTAATACAGCTTATTTTCGGGTTCCCGAGGCAATATGCTAACATCAACCATCAAAAATTCAGCATGACATATTAAGACTTATTTTTTCTATCTTTCCTGAAACAAGACCATGCTGAATTTTGCCTCTGACTGTCTTTTCATGACTTTAGCCCTTTCTGTAAACTGCCTGGACCACCATCAGGGTTGGAGGGCCCTCCCAAAGGGTGTGGATTTACTGCCATACTCGGCCCAGAACAACACCCTCAAACTCTCTAGCCCACAGCCTGTGGACATTGCTAAGGCACCAACCCGAAGAAGAACTGAATTGCATGGATTACAACGATAATACCAGAACTTTTCAAATTACTTCTGGCTAAAATTTCCACCATCAGGGCTTTTCAGGAATCAGCTCAGTTATCATGATTCTGCCCAGTAGGTCCTCGTAGGCGTCAAGTTTGGTCTTAGGCACTCCCCTTGATCAGTGAGGTCACTTCCCTCATGCTTTGGTTACATGAAAGTGCTGAGAACTTTTTATAAGAACTCTAAATTCATGGGGAGACATTCACAGTGAATGTACTGAAGGCAGAATTCAGGTTTTTAAACATTGCTATTAGCTTGCCACCAGAAGAGCAAAATGTGGCAAGAGAGGTTTCATCATCAGTGAACTTTCACAGCAACAAACGTCCACTATTGTGTCTTTCACATTATATCACAGATACACTGATGAGTTATTATAATGCCACGTTTATGTGTGTGGTTAATGAACTCTGATTCCAGAGGCTTTAAGAGTTATACCTGGTTTACAAAGACAAGGCTTTTATCATCTGAGAAGCAACAGTGAAGAAATCTTGAAGGCAGTGTATAAATCCCAAAGTCAGAATGCTGGGTTCAACTCACAGCTTACCAGCTTGGTTACTTTTGAGGCAAGTTACTTAATCTCTCTGTGCTTTAGTTTCTGCAACTATCAAATGCAGAATAACAGTACCTACCTCACAGTTTCATTGTGAAGCTTAATGAGTTAGAAGTAAAATGCTTGGAGCTGTGCTTCGCACGACAGTGCTGCAAAAGAATTTGCTACTCTTATTATTGGTACAAAAGGTTCAGCCAGGACTCACCTCTGGTATGCCAGAGCCACAGGCATATGGTGCAAATACACGCACCAGGGAGACGGCCAAAAATGCAAACAGCAGTGCCCATAGGATGTACATTAAGTAATTCAGAATGTAAGCACTGGCACCCTAGACAACAGACACAAAACAAAAAAGGAAACATTAGACACAGCAGACCTGAGCAGAAGACCCGAACCCTCCCCATCTGTCTTGACAACAAAAGCTTTGACAGGATTGGGCAGGTTTGGTCCCTGTCCTGTATAAACCAAAAGGCCAGCGTAGGTTTATCAGCTGTTGCTATTGCTACAGTCAGTACACACAAACAGAGCAGCGGGTGTTTCTCCGGGAACTGTTTACACACATCTTCTACGGGGGAAGGCTCAGCAGTAATGACAACCATGGATGACGCTTGGTTTTAATCACCACTTGCATAGAGTTAATCAAAGATGTAATGTGGAAAATCCTGCCTCCAAGACCCTGACAGATTAGTTTTGTCTTGTCTGTGGTGACTTGATCTCTCTTAACTTTCATTAAGGCCACACCCAATGACAGCAAGCACCCACACTGCCAATGAATACGGGTCGGGCCGGCATTTTAGAATACCGCTGCTCAAGGTGGGGTGCATGGTCCAGCTGCATCAGCCTCCCCTGGGAGCTTGTGAGACATGCAGACTCTCAGGCCTCACCGCAGAACTCCTGAACCAGACAGCAGACACTCCCGGCTGGGGCCCAGATAAATGTGTTTTAACAAGCCCTCCAGGAGGTTCTATGTGCACTAATGTTTGAGAGGCGCTATCACAGGAGAAAAACATGATCACTTTCAGAATAATTCATTGAACCATTTCTTCCAAATTATCTGATGTGTGGAGAATGTCTTCTGAACCAAACATACAGTCTGGGTCCTATGCAGGAAGGGCCTGGTCTGCTGGGTAGAGACCATACTTCTCTAGGGCTCAGCTTCTTGCCACCATCTGGATTACTTAAGTAAGGCGGGCAGGAAAGCAAGGTCACCTACAAGTCAGGCTATGGACAGCCACATGTGTGCCTATTAAATGCAAAAACACGTTCCAAGAGACTGCTCTGGTCTTTATAAGCATATATTCACACCCTATGTGGTGAGAAATAGGACTAAGAAATACCTTTCACCCACTTAAATATGTACTTTTTGGAGGCTAAAAATAACTCTCACTCTTACCAAAGGTAATTCTTCAAATCAAAGTATAAATCTTAAAAGCAGTTGAAAAGATGGATGGCTGTATTTCCCAAAACACACATTGCAAGTAGGAGAGTAGAAATAAAATATGGCGTATGGCCAATTCTGTCTGCCCACTCCCATCAACCCAAGTAGAGAATTTCTTTTTGGAAGTAATGGAGACCACTGAGAACGTGTGAGATTTCAAGATCCCTGTCTACTTCTGAGATTTGAAGGAATTAATTTTCAATTCCACTGAGAAAGAGGTTTAGCAAAAATGGCAAAGTGCATTCCAAATGTCTTCAGCTGTGGTAAGTCAGTCATGAAAAAAAAAAAAAGTGAAGGGAGGAGATACATAAATAGATTACATATATCTTCCAAGATTAGTTCTAGCTTGAGAGATCCTCACATTACCCCTAATGTGAAGCTTGGCAACCTGGTTCCCCCTCACATGGCTTTCTGATCCTTTAATAACCCATAGTCATTGTGGTAACCACTAAAATGGGTTAGAAGTTAACTCTATCTTGAGCTAAGATTTTAATAAAGCTCTGAAGCTCTAATGCTATGGGTCTGTGGTTCACCACTATTATCTCCTGTGCCTAGGGCATTCTCTTTCTAGAAGGCCCAGAACATCCTCTGTAAGGTGGTTATAAAATGCAATGGAAGATGACTGAAAGCACAATGAGATGCCACTTCATACTCACTAGGATGACTATAATGAAAAACAGGCAATAACAAGTGTTGGCAGGAAGGTGGACAAATTGGAAGTCTCATACACTGCTGGTAGAAATGTAAAATGATACAGACACTTTGGAAAACAGTCTGGCCACTCCTTAAAAGGTTAAATATAGAGTAACCATCTGACCCAGCAACTCCACTCCCAGGTATATTCTCAAGAGAAATGAAACATATGTCTTCACAAAAACTTGTACACAAATGTTCATAGCAACATGACATCATAGCCAAAAAGCAAAAGCAACCAATGAATGGATAAATAGAATGTGGTCCATTCATACAACAGAATATTATTTGGCCATCAAAAAGAATGAAGTACTGGTTCATGCTACAATAGGAAGAAACCTAGAAACATGATGCTAAGTGGAAGAAGTGAGACACGAAATCCACATTGTATGATTTCATTTACATGAAATGTCCAGAAGAGGCCAATATAGAGAGACAAAAGGTAGATTAGTGGTTGCTCAGAACTGGCAGGTTGGGGTACATGGGAGTGACTGCTAATGGAGACGGAGTTTTGGAAAGGATGATGAAAATGGTCTCAAATTAGATTGCGGTAATGGTTACAAAACTGAACATACTACAATCTTTAAATTGTACACTTTGAATGGGTGAACAATATGAACTGTGAATTTATCTCACTAAAGCTGTTACTTTTTGTACAGGATAACTTAAAAAGATACGTTCTCCTCAATTAGAAGATAGAAAACTCAACCCATTTCTTCAGCATGATGAACAAGCCACCTTCGGTAAGAAAAAATAAAGCCAAATATGACAGAATAAAGCCAAATATGAGGCTTTACACACATACACACACACACACACACACACACATACACACACACACACTGTGCATATGAAACAGTGGGGAAGGGTTTGCAGGTAAAGTTTGAGTGACAGCATTAGAGCTAGAAAAAGCCAGTCATCCTAGTGTTAAGCCACAACCTTCAGAGCAGGCACTTGAAGGTGAAATCACAGACATCCACAAATCTCCCAGCAGCATTCCAAAGCACGTGTGAAATGGCAGTGGTCCCCAGCCAAGACCCTGCCCAAACATCCACCTCTGACTGATTCACCAGCAGCTCCGACCATTTCTGCCACAGGGGACACTTGTCTCTGTCCTCAAAAGTGGTCTCATTAGAAGTCCAACAGCACTGCTCATGGCTGTACCAGAAGGCAGACAGGCAGACCCCCTCCTTCAGGTCCGTCATCCAGTCCACAGCGAGATCGATGACTCCAGCCAAGGTGCCTGGAAGAAGTAACATGAGCCATTAAGAGGAATCGCCCCATGATGCAACAAGAATGAGACCAGGTGCAACATGGCGGCCAGGCAGGGGCACATCAGCAATGATGGCCCAGATTCCAGAGCAGGCAATAAACTTGCAATGGGGCTGTCACTTACATAGGAAGCCTCTTTCATTAACCTTGCAGCACTTGAACATTTATGGTGTGGGAAGGCAGCACGAGCCCAATGAGAGATACAAAGCTCAGTGGCTTCCACTGGGTAGGACAGACAGGCAACTTCTGCAATTCTTCCTTTTCCAACTTTATGACATAAGGTATGTATACCACAAAAAGATAGAACTCTCAGCAGCTTCTGGGGCAGGATCATAGAATTGCACATATTAATATTCTCAGGGAAACATGATAATTCAGACAAAATGGACTCATAACTACAACAGCCTCACATCATAAATGAGTAAGTTTTTGCCACCAAATGAGAACCAAACTTGGGAAATCCTGTTTATTAGAACTCTCTGCATTTTTTTTAATTATAAAGAATTACGGGTCTATAAAACTAAATAATTAAGTTTAAAAGCCAATAGAAATGGAAGAAAATGGAATGTGCAGTTAAATGGATCATAAAAGGCGGCCTTGGGTCTCTTTCCAGAATAATGCATTCTAGTCTCTCACAGAGGTAGAGAATGCTTTCAAGCATCTTCATTTTGCAGCCTTTTCACTGCATTGTTATTACAGGATCGCTTCCGCATCCATATCCCCACTGAAGGCATCAACACCTGGCATCAGCGCTCACCCTTCCCTTCTCTTCTCCTGGTGTTGCATCAAACGCTGCTGACCTCAGCTCTACATATCCTTCCTCCTTGGAGCCTCATTCTTCCCATTCCCCTTTCTTTCTCCTGTAGCTTCAACTTCTTCCTTTCCTTGCCATCAGCATTTAAACGTTAAAAAAAAAAAACAAAACCTTCCTGGTTCCACTTTCCCCTCCAGTCACCATCTAATCTCTTTCCTTCCCTTGGCCTGGTCCATTCCCTCAACCTACCAGTAGACTCCCATGCAGCTAAGGCAATGGCCTTAATTCATTACAGCCTTAGCTCATTCCTCTAGAACAGGATCCGCAAACTACAGCCCACAGGCCAAATCTGGCCCACAGCGTGTTTTTGTAAATAAAGTTTTATTGGAGCACAGCCACACCATTCAACTACATGCACTCTGTGGCTGCCTTCATGCTACAGTGGCAGAACTGAAAAGCTGAGAGAGAAACCACATGGGCCACAAATCTGAAAATATTGACTGGCCTCTTGCAGAAAAAGTTTGCTGATCCCAGTTCCAGAGCTCTCAGTATCATCTGACTCTGCTGACCACTTCACCCTTCTAGAAACATCTCTTCCCTTGGCTTCTACATCATTCTCTCCTGCTTTCCTCCTTGCTCTCTGGTTTTCTCTGCCTCCTCTAATCTTTCTGACTCCTCCACCCAACTTCAAAAAGGCCATTTCCTCAAAGCTTGACCCTAAATCCTTTTCTCTTTTTATACTATGCTCTCGGCCATGGCAACTTTATTCACATCCTTCTATTTGCTATTAGGTATAAGTGTACATCTCAAGCTATGCTTTGCCAAGCACATAGAGCCCCCTGCCTATATTACAAAGCCAATCACGACAGCCCAGCCATCAGCTTCCAATGCCCATGGCAGACATCACCAATCAATAATGGCACACTCTATTGGATTCCCCTTCACAACTCTTTTGGCATACCCATGTCAGGCACTACTAATCAATCATGACACACACTTGCGGAATTACCCTCCCAAATCTTTGCAGCAGAGCCCCAGGCAGTCAAAGCTAATGAACAGGCACTGCCAAAGAACACAAGTCTATTTGCCTTCTTGGGTCTACTAGGTATCTCCACTTCAGCCCACTGCCATCTGACACTGAACTAAAGCATCCTCCTCCCACCCTCAGCTTTGTCCCAGCTGAGAGAGGAGCCCATCATTGGCACGCTACTGTGCAAACTAGAAATCTAGGGAAGCAACCCCTTTCCAGGCAATCCCCATATCCCAGCAGCTCCACCTCTGAAATCTCTCTCAAATCACTCCACTTGCCCCCATCCCCACTCAGGCTATCTTTCAGATCACCATGCTGAAGTCATTACTCGCTGGACTGCTGCAGGAGCCTCCTCTCTAGTCTCCGGCCCCAGTCCTGCCCCATCCATGGCTTCTCCACACTGTGGTCAAACAGGCTTTCCAAATGCCAAACTGACCTGTGCCACTCCCCTATGGAAAGCCCTGCTATGGTCACCCATTGTTCTTGGGAGAACACCCAAATCCTCAACAGGTCACCCACCCTGACAGCTGGCCCCTCAGATCTCTCCAGCTTCATCCCTTTCCCTCACTAACTCCCCACACCCTGCCCACTCCATATTCCTGGAATGTGTCACGCTCTCCTCTCTGCACCATCTCAGCAAGCACTGCCCTCCCCTCCTGTCAGACTCCTACTTATCATCCAGATTCCAACATTCATATCACCTCCTTTGGGAAGTCTTTCCTGATTTCCTAAGCCTGGGTTAGGTGTACTTCCCTGGCATTCCTGTGGCTGACTGTCCTTCCCATCACCACAGCTCTCACGTCCTGATATCACAATTAGCTTGCTTTCTGTGTGTGTGTGTGTGTGTGTGTGTATGTGTGTGTGTGTGTGTGTGTGTACTTCCACTAATCTATAAGTGGTAGGTAAGAAAGGTTTCATTATCTGATTATCCTGCCACAGTGAGGGTCAGGCCTGGCATCCAGACCCTGTGCCCACCCCAAGTGGGCAAGGACCCTATCTGTGTTGTCCATTGTTAGACCTATGTCAATTACATACCTGGCACTATATGTCCATGTTGAATAAAAGATTGCAATAAATAAATGAATGAAAAATCAGAAAACTCAGGTCCATTCATTCATTCAAGGGATAGTTATTGAACATGTGCCTACTACATGCCAGTTACTAGTACATTATCTTGGGAATACAGCAGTGAAAAGAGTAGACCCAAGTCCCTGCCTTTGTGGAGCTGCACCTTGGACAGGACACTGGACAAAATAAGTATATTAAAGTTTCCACTAAAAGGTATAAGGGCCAGGCACAGTGGCTTATGCCTGTAATCCCAGCAATTTGGAAGACCGAGGTGGACAGATCATTTGAGGCCAGGAGTTCAAGACCAGCCTGCACAGCATGACAAGATCCTGACTCTACATTAACAAAAAATACAAAAATTAGCCACACATGGTGGCACATGCCTATAGTCCCAGCTACTCAGGAGACTGAGGTGGGTGGATTGCTCAAGCCTGGGCTATAGCAAGCCATGATCGCACAAGAACTAGACCCAGTCTCAAAAAAAAAAAACAAAAACCCAAAAATGTGATGAGTACTAGAGAGAAAATACAGTGCACTACAAAGGTACAATGCCTCAGAAAATGGTCTGATGGTTCCTCAAAAAGTTAAACACAGAGTTACCACTTGACCAAGCAGTTTTATTCCTAGGCATATACCCAAGAGAAGTGAAAACATACATGCACACAAACACGTGTATAAAAATGTTCAAAGCAGCATTATTCGAAATAACCAAAAACCAGAACAACCCAAATACCCATCAATGGATGAGTGGATAAACAACATGTGATCTATCTATATGCTGGAATAGCACTTGGCAACGAAAAGGAATGAAGTACTGACACGTGCTACAACATGGACAAACTTAGAACATATTATGCTGAGTGAAAGAAGTTAATCACAAAGATCACATATTGTATGATTCCATTTATATGAAATGCCCAGAATAGGCAAATCCATAGAGACAGAAAGCAGGTTAACAGTGGCCTAGAGCTGGAAGAGGGATGGTTGGGGAGCAGGGACTTGATAGCGAAAGGGTATAATGGTTCTTTTCGTGATTATAAAATCCTTCTAAAATCGACCATGGTGATGGTTGCACAACTCTGTGATACACTAAAAACCACTGAATTATATACTTTAAATGAGTGAATTGTATGGTATCTGCATTATATTTCAATAAAGCTTTACATACATACTATATATACCCATATAGCAGGCAAGGGGGTTGAGGCTCAGAGAGGGAGGGATGTAATTTTATCACTTTTAAAATTTTAAATATCAGACAGGTTTGAAATTTTTAAGCATGCAATTCAATAATGAAATACTTGGTTTCAAATATAAAAATATATATAATTAGTCTCATTAAGTGAGAGATATCATTATTTCCTGATTTGTTTATTCTTTCATTTTTAAATTGATACATAACACTGTGTGTTTTTATCCTGTACAACATATTTTGAAGCACATATACCTTGTGGAATGGTGAAAACTATTTCCCGATTTAAAGTTGGAAACTGAAACCCAATGAAAATAAATCATACATGCTCAAAGTATTTTCTCCAGATCATGAAATCCTTGATGCAAGTTTGGTTCAGCTTAATGCTAGTTTGCAGAGTTAGCTAAGTAAACACTGCCCCCTAGCAACAGCAAGCAAGAACGATAATATTTAGTATTTCATGAGGTCTTTCCACAGGGTCAAATTTAGAACTATCCAAAGGAAAAACAAAGGCACCGGGCTCATTATCTTGATATTTTTAACTTTTTAAAACTGACACATAATAATTGTGTATATCAATTTCATGTTTTTATCGATGTATACATTACAGAAAGATTTGATCAATCTAATTAAAGATTCAATCATACCGTTGCTTTTAATGGCAAAAACCACAATTACCTTCGCACCAATCAAATAAATCATCTCACCAATTTATTTTTGTGGTGAGAATGTTAAAGTCTACTCTTTTAGCAATTTTGAAATACGCAATACATGATTATTAACTGTGGTCACCATGCAATTCGACAGCTCACTAAAGCTTATTCCTCCAGTCTAACTGAAACTTACACCCTCTGATCAATATCCGTTTCCCCATCCTGCCCCTACACCTCCCAGCCTCTAGCAGCCACCTTTCTACTCTGTTTCTATGACAATGGTTTTTTTAGACTCCACATATAAGTGACATCATGTGGTATTTGAAGAAGAACGTGAAGATGGGAGGGTCCTGCAGATATTCAGGAGCAAACGCGATGATCACCCTAAGTTTCATCATTACTCATTGATTCACAATCCCCGCTACTGCACACCCAATCTTCCTTGCTGAAGCTGGTTCTGACTGCGCTGCAGCGGGCCTCAGCTTTCTTTCGTGGTCCAACAGTGCCACCCAGTGGTGACTCCTGATAAGCACCTGCAGAGATGCTGTGAGCATACCCATAAGGGGAGTCCAAAGACAACAGCCACTGAGGGGACAGCCAGCCAGGCGATGACACCCGGGGCCGTCTCAACTATTCCAGTGAGGAAGGGGGAAGTGAGTGGGACATGGCTGTGACTGTCCCTTCAAAGTGCATCCAAATCAAAAGAACACTGTAGCCCTTTCATTTCAGCATCACCCATTCTCACCCTCCCATGTGTTCCCCTGCTGATGTGCCCATGGGCTCTCCTTTTGCCAGCAGTGCTCACCCCCGGCTGCACGTTGCAATCACAGAGGGGAGGGGCAGGTTGCATTCAAGTCAGAGGTCCTCTCCAGAGACACTGTATAAGTGAAGCCCAGGCAGCAGCATAATTTTTTTAATGCCCCATCCTAATGGAAATCAAGTGGATAATAAAGCCAGCTGGTCAAAATCAGATTTGTTAAAGTTAGCCCAATTGGGCTTCTAGATCAGTCAATAAGTTTAAGCTGTGCCGTTATCAGAACGTCTATTCCTATTCTGAGTTTCTTCATTTACCCTATTTATTTCTCCTCCCTATGAGCCAAGAATAATGACACACTATAAGGTCTTATCAAATACTCTAAATAAGGACATCCAAATTCATAGCAAACTCCCACCTGGCCCACCTTCAAAGATCTTCATCCAAGCAGCCAAGCAAAACTGGCCATCCAATACCTTGTGACAATGAAGTCTAATTCCCTGCCCTGGCTTCCACCAGTACATGATGGGAAATGCCACTGGGAAAGGAAGGACAGACATGGAGAAGTGGACAGCATCTGTGACTAGTAGGAAAGGATCCCCCCTCCAAGCATTCCTCTGAGGTCTTTATGGGATGCTGAGGCAAGTGAGGAAGGTAGAGCTCTTCCCTGGCAACCAAGCCCCTCCTCCGATGATCTATGGAATAAATCAAAGATCACCTGGAAACTGAAATCCCCTGTACTCACAAAACTCTCTGTGCCCCATTAGTGTTCGTCCTTCTTAAGCACTTACTACTATGGTCAATTTCCTGATCCGTTCTCTAACCATAACTATTATGTTGTTATATGTAGGGGATTATTATTAAAAGAACCTCTTCATCATGCCAAATTTTTTATTCTTAGACATTAACCTTCATAATCTCCTAAAAGGATGTAAGTTTTAGGAAACTATTTCCATGAAGGGCTGGTGCATTTGCTATTAAAAAGATGGGTTTCCCCTCCAGATAGCATCCATTTACTCTGGAAACATCTACTGCTCACAAACATGGTGTTGGGATTCTAAAAAGGAAAGATGCGGAGTCCCCGAGGGTCAGGGGCCTGCCTCAGCTCCCGTGGGTGTCCAGCATGGTGCTGAGCATTGCAGAATGTTTCAAGTTCATCCCAGAGCCTACCAGTAGTAGTAAAAGGAAATCTCATAAGATGTTTCGTTATTGAAGATCAAAATAGTCCCTGATTTTGTTGCCATCTACATAGCCAACTACAACAGAATATAAAATATGTGCTTGGCTGGGCTCAGTGGCTCACGCCTGCAATCCCAACACTTTGGGACGCTGAGGCAAGAGGATGCTTGAGCCCAGGAGTTCGAGACCAGCCTGAGCAACATAATGAGAACCCATCTCTACAAAAAATAAAAAAAATTAGCTGAGCATGGTGGCACACATGCCTGTGGTCCTGGCTACTTAGGAGGCTGAGGTGGGAGGACTGCTTGGTCCTGGGAGGTAGACGCTGCAGTGAACTGTCATCATGCCACTGCCCTGCAGCCTGGGAAACAGAACAAGACCTTTAAAAAAAACCGTGTGTTTTCAGTCAAATCCAGTAGAGTAAGAAAATTCTGCACTGTGCGGACAGGCCACCAGCTCTGTCATCACAGCTCCACAGAGGCCTGTGCCTGGGCTTGTGCCTTGGGAATGCCTCATCGATAATAGATTTTAGGTTAAATATATAGTCATGCATTTTGCCCTTAGATATTTCCAGTAATAAATCCCTCCCACGGGAGTAAAAGACATGCTCCATATTCCAAACCTCCCAGAGGGTTCACATTTTGGGGTTTTGGCCTCAGTAGCTTCCCGCGGGAGCACTGCATGCCCATCCACATACCTGCCAGCAGGCCGATGAGCAGCATCACCACCCATCCCGACCAGGCATCCAGAAGGCTCTTGATGAACTCCCATATGGACTCCTTGCTCTTGCTGGTGATCTAGAACAAAGCAGATACAGCAGCTGATCTGAATGTATTTCCTAATTCATGCTTTTTTCCTTGAAAGTGTTTCCTCGGGAAACAGGGTAATTAAGAAAATAAAATGAATTTTATCAAGTAGCTAAATTCCCACTGATGTGATTCTTTCAGCTATGTGCCACAATGGTAAGATAAGCTTTCTACTTTATAGAGCTTTAAGATGCCACAACAGTCTCCAATGAATTTGAGCACACACAAAGCATTCACTTCATTAAAAAACATGTACTAAATGTGATTTGATCTTCGATGATTTAAAAGCTGTGCTGAAGGCGGACGTTGTTTCAGTGTCTCCATTCTGAACATGAGTTCTATCTTGAGTTACACTGCTAGGTTTCATTAAAAAGCCTCTTCAACAAAGGCTTCATCTCCTCCTTTTGTTTTCAAGGTTAAATTTAACAGCAGAAAGTTAGAATTAGATGGCATAGATCACGTTTACCGTATCAGATGGACACACCTATATACACCTCCTTGTGCTAACAGAATTGTATGCACCTCTGAGATCGTATTTCCCTCATGGCCTTTTACAGCAGTGGTGGGCAAATGTTTTCTGGAAAGGACCAGAGAGTAAATATTTTGGGCTTTGCAGGCCAAATGGTCTCTGTTGCAACTTCTCGACCCTGCCACTGTAGCACAAAAGGAGCCATAAAAAATATGGAAATGGATGGGCATGGCTGAGTTCCAACAAAAGTTTATTTAAAAAAAGAGGTGCCAGCTGGCTTTGGCCCGCGGGCTGCAGTCGGCTGAGCCATGCTCTAGAGGGATAGCTGCCTCGATCCCATGTTCTTGCGTGCTAGAGCTAAGAGGCTGCAACATCTTCATGACTTAACCTGACTCCCTTCACATTGCCCTCCTGTTTTCATGCCAGCCCTCGTGAAGCAAGGTGACATGGTCACACTGTCCATGTCACTGCTCACCCTCTTCTGAAGCAGCTCTCCCCTCACTGCCAGCCCCCAGGCTGCTGGTTGGCCTCCCGCCTGACCTCCCCATGGAGGATAACCTTGTGAGCAGCCCCCTGCATGACACCCTCTCCATTCACCCCACTAAGAGGGAACCGCTCTTAGTGGGGTCCCCTCTTGTTGCAGGCTCCCCACCTGCCTCCCTGGACCTGGTAACTCTGGGCACTGCCTAGGGTCTTGACCTCCTCCTCCCTTCTCTTTCTGCACACCCAGGCCACAATGGCCGCTTCTAAAGCTTCAGTCTCCCTTTGCTTCCTCTAGGCATCAAAGGCATCATCCCTGTCAGGCCACAACCTAGTGTTCCATGACCGCACTTCCAAGACCCTCACTCCCCTCCTGGCCCCAGCACCTCCCCTGAATCCTGTCCGTGGTGCCTCAGAACGCCTCTTGACCCTGATCCCCTCTCTTCACCTGCACGTCACTGACTTCGGTCTCCTGGACTCATTTCCAAGCTTCCTGCTTCTCCCTTTGCAGTGCATCTTTATTGTCTTCTGTGGCTTTCAGCACAAAATACAAACTCCTCTCTACCACCAGCATGGCCGTTCCGCATGTGGTCCTGCTGCCTCCATTTCCACACTCATCCCTATCCCTCCCCTTGCAGGAATCCTCCACCAGACCCTGGGAGCTTCCTGAATTGCCCAAATACTTCACATTCTTTCGTGCCTCTGTGACTTTAAAAAGGGGGCCATTCACCCTGAAGAGCCAAGATTTTCGGAGATGCAAAAAAAATAAAAGTTTTAAAAAGGGGCAGGGGGGATCATTCCTGATGTTTAGAATCATTTCCCTTCCTCTGCCTAGCAAAATCTTAGTCATCCTTCAAGACCTAACTGAAATGTTACCCTTTCTGAAAAACCCTTCCCTAACCGAACCTAAGAGATCACACAGCACTTAACAGACAACCATTGCGGTCCATTTAAATATATACTGACTGCCAACTAGAAGTCAGGCACTGTTATATGTGCTTTCATATACACATAATCTCATTTCCTCTTCAGGCATAATCACCTCCATCCTCATGGATGAGAAAACAGGGTCCTGAAATGGCACCTGCAAAGTTCCCTCCCTCTCCTCTATACCACATTCCCTCCATATGACACAGCGTCCTGCCCAAAGTGCCTGCTAGTACAATGATCTCATGTATCTGCTTCTCCCACTGGCTCTTTTCTTCTTTAGACCCTAACCCAGCACATGACACGTACGTGGACCTAAGCCCCAGCTCAGTAACTTTTGAATGAAAGCATTGCTTAGCCATTTGTAGTGTGTCCTTTTGTAATGTCACCTACCTTCCTGTGTCTGTCAGTGTCCCGTGACTTTTCCCTTAGCCAGTCGATGGTGTGGAAGTCCTCATACGTCCCCACGTCAGGGAATGGTTCATCGAGGAAATCCATCAGGTTTCCAGAGCCACTCATTGCTCCCGCATTGACCATGCTAATTACACCTGGGCAAGAAAACTGGTGGTTAAATATGTGAGTGGGACATGCCACGGATATGGCAGAAGAATAATCCACGTGTCCTATTTTCTTATATAAGAAGAATTATTTCAGCATAGGCATCTCTGCTGTAATGAAATATATGCACACTCAACTCTCATTATTCATAGAAGTTATGCTCTATAAAGTCACCTCAAATACTAAATTACTGAATACTGAACTACCATTCCCAAGAGAATACAGAGTAAGGTTCCTGCAAACCTTTGGTCACGTTTTCATCAAACAATTAAAATGTGCCCTGTTTAAAGATACTCTATTTAATAGATATTGTAGAGTCACTAACATTGACCTCACAGCCAGTAGCACTATCACTCATGCCTGAATGAGGCTTCTCCATAAAACATGTTACAGCCCTCTTATGCTCAGGAACACTAGACAGCTTCCCAGCACTGCACTACAGGGCCATTTTAAACAGCAAAATTACCAACAACAAAAAAAAAGCACAAAACTGAAAAACATGGCACTAAATAGAACACGAAAAGCACCCTTGTTGACAGGAAGAGAGTGGAAGCAGGAAGACAGAGCATAGCCCTCTCAGACCTCAGTGAGGAATGGGCACTCCTGGCACTTCCTGTCGCTCTACACACACCCTTATCTATGAACAACCTCAAAAGCTCCACAAGTATTGATCCGGGGGCTACACATACATTTTAGCCAGTTGGGAAATTTGCAAATGTAGAATCTGCCAATGAGGATCAATTATATACATTCCTGAAAACCTCACATTCTGCAAAAGCAAGGTGACCAAATGACAGGGCTAGAGGGGCAAATAGGGTTTAAATGAAAATAATGGCAATCAAACCAATAATTGGTTCCCCTGGGAGACAAAGTAGACCACTCAGGCAGGCAGCCTGTGTGCTTGTCAACGTGGATATTCAGAATGTACCCCAACGGCACAATGAAAATACCGGCAAGACTTTAATGAGCTGGTGGGAGCCCAGGCAATCTACAGAGGGCAGAAGCCCTCTGCGTGAGTGGGGCCACCCTGGAGATGGACAAGGGAGGTGGGGTAACCTGCCATGAGCCAAAAGCCATGAGAGGCTGGTGGCACACTGCCCTGGGCAAGGAGGTCTGGGACAGATGCTCATTTTTAATGTCTTAAAATGCAGTCAAAAGGGCTCCTGCTGCCACGGCAGTGGCATGGTTGAATGTGTCTTCCTTTCCTGTCCAAGATAATAATTCCACTCCCATTATTCCAGCTCCCCTCACCTAGAAAACAACCACAAGTGAACCACCATGTCTCATATTCTCCCACCATCAAAGCCTGATCTGCGGATTGCACAGGAGCTCATTTTAGCTATAGAAAATGCTTTGCATTGGGACCACGGCTCACCACTAGTTAGCAGAAAAAAGAATACACTCTTACAGAAACAAGAGGTTGGATTATGCACTAAATAAAAATTACTTGGGCAAAGAGCATGGAAATTTGAATTATAGGATAAGGACCACAAAAGTGCTGGAATAGATGCTTTAAAAGTTGAAGGGTGGTTATAAAAACATTTGAGTGCGGGCTTCTCTCACGTATTTATGTATCTGGAGGACTCAAGCACGACCTGATGAAACCGCATTTTAATCCAACTGAAGAGTCACTATGGGCAAAGTAGGGTAATCTCCTTACAAGCAATAAAGCAGTCACAGTGCTTGATTTATTGATCATAAGTGCAACACGGCTGCTTTAAAACTTTGAAAGTTTGAGGTTTGAGCCACGCCAAGTTGAAAACAATACCCGCTGATGAGTGCCCAGGGAAGAATCATATTGCATAAGTCAGTAGCAACCAATGACATTAGGAAGAGAGTCAAATAAGAAAGCAAAGATTTCATTCTCATTTCTACACAAACAAGATGAAAATAACCGCTTAATATATGTGGTAAAGAATATCTCTGATGGGAAAAGAGACGACAGACTGTTGACCCTCCAAGGGAGCCCCTGTCAGAAAAACCCAGTCAGCAGATAGAACTGCAGGGACCTGAACGGTCTATTAAAAGGGAGTTCGTACTACCTAAAATTTAACCACGCCTCTTGTCAAACAACTAATTCAGGCAATAACGCTTGAAACAAAAAGTCACTGTAGAGAACAATCCTATCTTTAAACATCGATGGAACTTGTAGTGGTCCCGAGGAAAATAAACAGGCTCTGATCCGCAGAGCCTCAAAGGTCTTCGCTGGGAACCCAGAAGGAGGTGGTGGTGTCTATTGTGAGGCTGGGGTTAAAAGATCATGTAGAGGCCAGGCACAGTGGCTCACGCCTATAATCCCAGAACTTTTGGGAGGCCAAGGTGGGTGAATCACTTGAGGTCAGGAGTCCAAGACCAGTCTGGCCAACATGGTGAAATCCTGTCTCCACTAAAAATACAAAAATTAGCTGCGTGTGGTGGCTGGCACCTGTAGTCTCAGCTACTCAGGAGGCTGAAACAGGAGAATCCCTTGAACCAGGGAGGTGCAGGTTGCAATGAGCCAAGATCCCCATGTGGTCTCTTCAGCATGTGACTTTGGGTGGCAGTATTTCTTACCCAGAGGCTCTGGGCCCCAAAGCAAGTGCGTTAAGAGAAAGAGAGAAGGCAGAAGCTGTACCACCTTGCATGGCCCAGCCTCAGAAGTCAGTCTCTTTTGCCACTTGCTCTTTGTTAAGGCAGTCACAAAGTTCCACCCAGGTTCAAGGGGAGAGGAAGTAGACTCCACCTCTTGATGGGGAAATGGCAAAGTTCTAGAAGAGCATCCAGAAATCAGAAGTATTATTGTGGCTACTTTTTTAAAAAACATACAACCACCCACCCAACTTACAAAACCTTGACAAATAGAGAAAAGCATTGAGAAAAAAATGAGGATTATCCATCCTCATGCCCTAGATAACTTCCACAACCTGTTGGTATGTTTTCTCTGTAGATGTATCTTAAAACAAATTGGCCCTAAGACATATTTGGATCTTGAATATTGTACTTTGCCCTTCTATATTCTGACGTTTATCATAAGAGAGGCAGCATCACGCACATACTAGTTAAAACACAGACTCCAGAACAGCACTGTGTGGGTTCAGATCTCAGCTCTGTCACTTACTAGCCGTGTGATCTTAAGCAAGTTGCTGGACCTTTCTTACTGTGCCTCAGTCTCCCCCATCTATGAAGTAGGTGTTGAAGCAGTGCCTGCCTCAGGGTACTGTGAAGAAGATGGAATGGGCTGACATTTGAAAAGCAATTTGTGCCTGGCATATGGTTAGCGCTTCATCGATCTTTGTTAAAACAAAAATCATGTTTCACGAAAACACCCCTTTCTTACCCCCCTGCATGTCGCCTCATTGCTGAAGTTGATCTGCTCACTCCTCTGCTGTCTGTAGCTGACAGAGGGGACCCGATGGACTTGTTCTGCTCAGGGAGATTGTGCTGGTCCAACTGAGCTTCTGTGAGACCTTCTGTGGGCTTCCACTTACCAAGAATCAGTGAGGCCATTAAAACATGAATCTATATGTGACAGTCAAAATATCTTTTCCTAAAAACGCCTCAAAGCATTTACTTTGAGGAGACTGTTTAGAGACTGCTTTCTTTCAAACCTGAAATAAAATACCTCTGTTCAAAGTGGTAAGACCACTAACCAAGAGACATGTATGACTCTCCAGTCTGGCTGTGTGACCACAGCTGACCCTCACAGCCCCCGCTCTCGAAAGCCAGGACCGTGGGATGCTCCCTCTCGTGCCCCTTCACCCCAGTACATGGCACAGGGAATGAAACAGCACCAGCCCCTTTCACCCTTGCAGGGACAGGCAAACCTTTTGTCACTAATTAAAACAATTTGTCTCTGCTACAGATAATGTTTAGGCCTGGGACTTTACAGCAAGTTCAGCACTATCTTCACAGAAAAATCCTAAGAAATACACTCTTCGGTGTCAGTGAAATGAAAACTTTGAGATGCTCTGGGTGGTCATCTCACATCCTCAAATGGGATCCTCTCAAGTTATCACAATATTTGTGACCATTATGGCCCTTAACACCTAGAAGTGGGGACCAAGAAGTTTGATTGAGAAGAGATCAAGAACTATAGATAGAAAGCAACCTACAGGTAAGCAGTGAAGTCTTTTTGAATGTGTTTTGTTTGGTTGGTTGGTTTGATTCGGTTGTTGTTGTTTGTTTTACTGCTCCATTTCTTTGGCTTGGAAACAATGAAGTCTTGGAGGAACCAACAAGGAGCCAACAGTCCATGCTCAGCTAAGGGAATGGGCTCCAGTGGCTACTACATAGATTCCTGTTTTTCTCCAATCAGACCAAAGGAAAACAGACATCAGGAAAATGGGGGTGAAGTCAGGCATAATCACAGGAAAAGTCCAGGAAGCGAGTTATCTAGGATCTTTCAGTTTACCCTGTTTTTCCTAGAACTCCAGTTTTAGTAAACAAAAGTAGCAAAATTAACATGCCCATGTTAGCTACATTTTAGAAACTGCTCTGTGCTACTCAGCTGGCTTGGATCTAGGGGAAGGGTCTGGATTACCTGGGGGAAGTCAGGCCCTCTCCCTGTCTGTAACTTTCAAGATATCTGCACTTGGAGGAGCAGCAGAAGAAAGGTCTCACCTTAAGACCTTTTCCTTCTGACATGTACAGATACACACAGGTCTGTAGCAGCGATCTCTTACAACATTTTTAAAGAGGTAATTCACATACCATAAAATGTACTTTTGTAAAGTGTACAATTCAGTGCTTTTTAGCAAATTCACAAGGCTGTCCAATTATCACCACTATCCAATTCCAGAACATTTTCGTCCCCCGAAAAGCAACCCCCTACCCATTAGCAGTTGCATCCTTCTCCCAGCCTAGGCAGCCGCTAATATACTTTTCATCCTATGGGTTTGCCTATTCTGGACATTCCATGTAAGTGGAATCATGCAGTATGTGGCCTTTTGCCTCTGGCTTCTTCCACCTAGCATAATTCTTTCAAGGTTCATCCAGGCTGTAGTGCATATCG